GTCGCTCTTTTAAGATAAAAAATTACAAATTTTAAGCACAATTTAAATGACATTATTTAATTTGAAAATCAACCAGCAAATAAATGCCAATACTCACTGAAAATCTAGCACGAACTTTACGAAAACATTATTTAGTACATTGAATTTGAATCACTTTTACTACTTATGCAATGTACGGTTTACACTTTCCACAAAGGCAAAGTCGGATTTCCCACTAAGCCAATGCCCTCTAAAACTCATATTGCCGAGATGGTTAGAGAAACATACGAGGTATTCTAAACGGCACTCGTACTACTCTTTCTCCTTTGGCGGTGGTTCTGGAGGAGAGTGGATCAACGGTGCCATCATAGATGGGTTGAGAAGCATAATTGGATTTGAGAAAAACATATCTAAAGTTGATGAATAACATCAATAGCATAACTCAGTGGAAGCACTTGCATCATTTATTTGAGAAGAAACCACCCATAGAATGACTTCTCAAGAAAATGAAAATGTCGTTGGGCAGAATGTTTTGAACGGTTTGAACGATAATCACTCTGAAAGCGGAGCTCTGGTGAACAATAGTTCACAACGCGGTGCATCTGCTTTGGTTAACCAAAGGGCTATCCCTATGGTGACCGTGCCGAGCAACTCTGTGGAGAAACCCGAAAAATTTAATGTGTTAAACTTCAAGAGGTGGCAGCAAAAGATGCTCTTCTATCTCACTACTCTCGGTCTTGCACGTTTCTTGACCGAAGATGCGCCGGTAGTAACCGGGGGTGAGGTGGATGCGCAATCTTTCAACGCGGTTGAAGCTTGGAAGCATTCTGACTTCCTATGCCGAAACTACGTGTTGAACGGGCTGCATGATGCTTTGTACGACGTGTATAGCAAATTAGTTACGGCTAAGGAGCTATGGAATGCTTTGGACCACAAATATAAGAGCGAGGATGCCGGTGCAAAGAAATTTGTTGTCGGTCGATTCCTTGATTTTAAAATGGTGGATTCGAAGATGGTCTTGAGTCAAGTTGAAGAAATGCAAATGATATTCAACGAAATTCGAGATGAAGGAATGACGGTTAGCGAGTCGTTCCAAGTGGCGTCAATTATACATTTGTTGCCGCCGGCTTGGAAGGATTTCAAAAACTACCTTAAGCATAAGCGAAAGGAAATGAACTTGGAGCAATTGATCCTCCGTCTTCAGATTGAAGAGGATAACCGGAAGAACGATGAGAAACTCCCAATTGTTTATGGCGCCAAGGCCAACGTGGTGGAGCATGCAAAAGGCTCCAAAAATAAAAATAATGGGAAGAGCAAGCTCGGTTTCAAGGGAGGCGTTTCCAAACCCAAATTTAATGGAAAATGCTTCAATTGCAACAAAAATGGACACAAGTCCTCGGATTGCAAGGCGCCAAAGAAGAAGAAAGACTCTCAAGTCAACATGGTGCAAGGTGGGCAAAAGGATGGAGACATCATTCTTGCGGCCGTGGTGACCGAGGTCAATCTCGTTGGATCCAATTCCAAGGAGTGGTTCGTGGACACCGGTGCAACTCGACATATTTGCTCTAACCGGGAGCTATTCACAACCTTTGAGCCATCAAACGGTGAGAAGGTGTGGATGGGGAATTCTGCTCATTCCGAGGTTGAAGGCATGGGCAAGGTGGTCCTGAAGATGATTTCGGGCAAGGAGCTGACTCTCAACAATGTGTTGTACGTCCCGGAGATACGCAAAAACCTGATCTCGGGCTCTTTGTTGAACAAGCATGGCTTCCGCATGGTCTTTGAGTCGGACAAACTAGTTTTGTCTAAATCGGGAATGTATGTGGGGAAGTGGTATGCAGTTGATGGGTTGTTTAAGCTCAATGTAATGACTATTAATGATAATAATAATAATAAAATCTCTTCTGCTTACTTGCTTGAGTCTTCCAATGTGTGGCATGGTAGACTAGGACATGTTAATTTTAATTCTATACGTAGATTAATTAACATGGAACACATTCCTAAATTCACAATTGATGTGAATCACAAATGTGATGTTTGTGTCGAGGCAAAACTAACGAAAACGTCTTTCAAATCGGTTGAAAGAAAAACGGAACCACTAGAATTAATTCATAGTGACGTTTGTGATTTTAAATCAATACAAACACGTGGCGGTAATAAATATTTTATTACTTTTATCGATGATAGCACTCGCTATAGCTATGTTTATTTATTAAAAAATAAACACGAAGCAATCGATAAATTCGTTCTTTATAAGAATGAAGTGGAGAACGAACTTAATCGACGGATTAAAACGGTTAGAAGTGATCGAGGTGGTGAGTATGAAGCACCAATTGGTGACTTTTGCGCTAGTGTGGGTATAGTACATGAACGTACCGCACCCTACTCACCTCAATCAAACGGTGTTGCCGAACGAAAGAATCGCACATTGAAAGATATGATGAATGCGATGCTAGTAAGTTCGGGCCTGCCACATAATATGTGGGGCGAAGCGATCTTAACAAGCAATTACCTTTTAAATAAGGTTCCCCGGAAAAAATATGATAAAACTCCGTACGAGTTGTGGAAAGGTAGACGACCTTCCTATCAATATTTGAAAGTGTGGGGGTGTCTTGCTAAGGTGCTTGTACCAACACCTAAGAAAATAAAAATAGGTCCAAAAACGGTGGATTGTATTTTTATTGGATACACACAAAATAGTAGTGCTTATCGGTTTTTAGTGTACGATTCGAGTAATCCGGATGTACATAAAAATACAATAACTGAGTCAAGGAATGCATCATTCTTTGAAGACGTATTTACATGCAAGTCCAACGAAGGACCCAACACGTCAAAACGAACATTTGATGTAGCTATGGAAAATACTAGCGAGGGATCCGGTGAAGAAACTGAGCCCCGACGTAGCAAACGTGCTAGAGTTGAAAAATCTTTCGAACCGGATTTTCTCACATATTTGGTAGAATTCGATTCGAATATTCTAACATGTATGGTAGAAAATGAACCGGATTTTCTAACATGCTTGGTAGAAAATGAACCACGGACTTATACGGAAGCCGTGACGTCTAACGAAGGTCCAATGTGGAAAGAAGCCATAAAGTGAGGTGGACTCTATCCTAAAAAATCATACATGGGAATTGGTTGATCTCCCTCCGGGAAGTAAACCTTTGGGATCCAAGTGGATTTTTAAACGTAAAATGAAACCTGACGGTTCCATTGAAAAGTATAAGGCCAGACTTGTAATCAAAGGATACAAACAACGTGAGGGCCATGATTACTTTGACACGTATTCTCCAGTAACGAGAATAAATTCCATTAGGATGATACTAGCAATTGCCGCTTTGCGGAATTTGGAAGTTCATCAAATGGACGTAAAAACCGCATTTCTAAATGGCGATATAGACGAAGAAATCTATATGGAACAACCCGAGGGGTTTCGTGTTCCAGGCCAAGAAAAGAAAGTTTGTAAATTAATTAAATCATTGTATGGATTGAAACAAGCCCCTAAACAATGGCACGAAAAGTTCGACCATGCAATGTTAATTAATGGTTTTAAAATAAACGAAAGTGACAAATGCGTCTATGTGAGGAGCACGGTAGACGGCTATGTCATTTTATGTTTATACGTGGATGATATACTCATCGTGGGTAGCAATAATCTTATGATTAATTCTACCAAAAGTATGTTAAATTCTAAATTTAAATTATTTTAAATTGTCATCCAAAAAAGTACCAATGGTTTTTATGTACAATGGTTTTTTTGTATTTTTATGTCTACCAATAAAAATACTCGAATGTCTACCACGATGGTTTATGTACAATGGTTTTTACCACGATGAGTATATCATGTACTCATCTACAATGGTTTAAATTCTAAACCATTATGTTACCATTGTACCAAAAGCAACATTTTCATGTACTTTGTGTGTACATGAAGTTGTATTTGATTTTTCAATTTAGCAAATCTTTTTAAATGTGAAGTGAATTTATTTTTCTCCGATCTTGCCTTATTCGGTCACTGTGACGACGACGAAGGCCATTTGATAATAAAATGATCTCAAACCTAAATTAAATCTCCTTTTGTCATTCCCGTAAATCTTATAGTGTTCCTGTGTTTCTTCACTTATGTGTATACATACACTTGTATATGATTTTATTTAAGAAATAAATTGGGAGATCAGCAGTGATGCCATCAAATCACAAGGTACTTGGCTGTGTTTGAAGTTTCTTATTTATTTATTTCAAAGATTTTGGATTTATTTTAATGATCTTAGTTTGTTAAAAAGATGAACTATTTATTGTCTTATCATCAAGTTTCTTTCTTTTCTGATACATCTGATGATACTTGAGTCAAGTAACTTGACACCAGCCACCTATCATACAAACCACATTTGACTTATTCCATACAATTATTGCTTTGAGATATTAATTATTAGGGAAGCATGGTGCGTGTTATTTCACGAGATATATAACATTTGTCTCTTAGTTTTACACTAATATCACATTTCTATATCTACCTATATAACATCTTGTTCTTTAATTTTTGATGATCCAGGGTAATGATCGAAGCAAGTGAGACAATAAAACTCCAATTATAGACCGGTCTAAAGATATTGAGGGAATGTGGTAATTAACATTAGTCATACAGACACGCGACAAGTCTTCTTTTTCTCTGCCTTTTTCTTTTTGTTTTGTTTATAATTATAATGATTGCTCTATCATTTTCATCCATAAATAATTTCTTCTCATATAGATAAAAGTTTATGTAGGCTGCTCTATGATTGCTCTATCAAATTTCAAGCATCACAAGCTAGTTTTCAGTTTCCGAAATGTTCAAATTTCGGGTGTGTTCCTAACTAGCTATTACAATAAATAATGTTTTTTCAATGAAACTATTATGAGAACTATTATTATAAATAATACTCCCTATTTAACAATTTATTAAAAAAAATTTTAAGTCTAAAAAACAAAAAATATGAGGAGTAACACTAGAATTCTAAAAAAAAATATGAGGAGTATATATGAAAATTAATATATAAACATTTTTCTTCATTTTTTTTCATAATGTTACAATTTAATCATACTAAGAACATTGTCTTCGAGTTTTTTTTGATTAAAATCTTCTTCGAGTTATGTATTCTTTCTTTACAAATTACAACCCTAACAACAGTAAAAAGTGACATACACGAAACATTATATATTATGCCTCAGTTCTATTGCACGTATTAAGCAATTCGTAAATAAATTAATAAAATAATGACTTCAAATTTCAAATCTAGCGGTCACCGGCCGCGCGGGTCAACTGCTTAAAAATTCCGAAGCAGCATCAAAGCATCAAAGCAATCAAGCGAGTATGATTCTCCTTCCGCCGTTTCATCCACGGCCTCATACTCATAAGGTACGGGATATGGATCGACCGCCGCCTTCATCCAGAACTTCAAAAACTCATCTTCATCCGAAACTATGGCATTCAAGGCCGAGGAATAAACACAATCCGCTTCCCTTAGGACTTGAGTAGGTTGTAGTTCTGTAAATTCGGCTGGGCGGTTATTGTGAAGAAGAGGATGACGACGATCACCTTCGGCATCAGGCAGCTGCTGTGCTTCCCGGGCTCGGCTGCTTTCGCCACCCTCGATTGGCTGTGCATTGGACTGAGCTTCTCGGATTTCCCTGAGCTTATCTGCGTAGTTGCTGATGTCGAAATTCGTGAGTGCATTTGGCCCTCTCTGTTGGATTGCTGCAATGTCATATGCTGCTGCTGCTTTCTCTTCAGTGTCTTCATCCATCAGTGATTAATTTAGTGATCATAAACATAGATGACAATTACTAACCAATCTATAATTAATTATGATAGAATTTTAAGACTAGGTTGGTGTTAGTCATTATGAAACCATCATTCTCAAATTCTTTAACAAATTCTGATTTTGCTCTTCTTATTTGTTGTGTAAACAAATGCTAGTACTTCTGTAGTTTGTTATGCATGAAAACTGAACTGACAATTGCCCCCAAATAAGTAAATACTCTATGTTCACTTCTCTTTCCAATGTCCCAAAAAATAGTTTAGTTTCTTAAATTAAAGCTGCCAGTTTGCCACCTTTTTAGTTTATTCAAAATGAATAACAAGCAAAGCTTTACTAAACAAAGTTTTGTCAAACTAAAAAATGTCCTATTCTCAAAGACTGCTGCCCACAATGGTCAATATTACTCACTTCTACTTCTGCTTTTAGGATCAGAAAATGATTGATATAGAAATAAATGGAACCTGGTTTACATAAAAAAACTTATTTCAAACAGTGTAATCAATGAGAAAATGTTGTTCAAAAGCTACTCGTATAGAAATTGGAAAGTAGTTTAGAAAATGCAAACTAAACTATGAGAAACATAAAGTATACTAAGTTACAAATGATAGATAAACAAAAAAGCATACCAAAAACTCCCAAGTAAAGATACTTGGTCCCTGTAGTTGATTTAATTCGAGCCTCCCAACGGCTGTGGTGGTGCCTGTGAAAGTTCAAATGTTCAACTATGTTGTAAGAGAAGTTGCATCATCTCTTATTTTAAAAAAATGTTCGACTCAATCAGTAATTATACTAAAGATAATACGACAAACCGATAATGAGTAACTAAAGATCGATATGCCACTTTATTGTTTTATTTTTAGTCTGTTTACCTTGAAACCCCACGGTACTTCGAAGTACCTCGAGAAAACCCTGTACTCTGCCGCCTAAGTGAGGCTAAAAACTCCTCCTTCGACAGATTCTGCATTTCCTCGAGCTCTTTGGTGTAGGTCTCAATCTGCAGAAAATATGCCATTATTCGTGGTAATTGACTAACTGAGTATACTTTATAGACCAAAAAGATGATAATCACACCATACCGGAAAATTGAGAGCAGTGCCTGGACCTGGCCCCCTGTACTTAAGAGCAACAAGGTCATAGGTTCTTGCAGCAGCCTCTTCACTGTCATATGCCCCTTCATTCCATTTCAGAAACATATATCACTATGTTCAGTTCCAAATTCTGATGAGTATATTTTGAAAAGACTAAAAATAATATCTTTCTTTCCTGGTTCAAAGAAATGCTTACCCAAGTAAACTAATATATGACCATAGAGATAGGTTGCAGACATCAAGGATCATGAGAAAAGAAAGAAACTTGATAAGTACATAAACCAAGTGACAACTTAAGGTATAAAAATAAGAAACTCCAAACGGAACACAGATCATTAAATCCCATATACTTAAAAAACTTTTACAAGAAAAATAAAATAGTTCATGATTAAAACAGAAGCAAACAGTAGAAAACGATCGGTATATATATAATCACTTTGTCTGTTTTTCTTGCTGGCACTCTTGTCCCAATAGTGAGCTTCATATCTCCCTCTCTTGACACTGCTAAAGTTTTACAAAGAAAGTTAAAAATGCAGACATAAGTTGTCTGTCATGCATTCGGTGAAACACACACTGGCAGAGCATTTTAGAAAAAATAAACATCACACAATCACACAGTCCACCTTGTTACGCCTCTGAAGACGGAGCTTCTCTTGGCTTGCCCATGTCCCGGAGAATCAGAACTGTGGACTACTCTTTTCTGTTTCCGGGATCGTTTGGCAACGGGTTTGGCTGGATTCGGCATGGCTGTGGATGATTCCGGTTGAACCTCAGTGTCATTGACAGGAGATGGAAGAGAAGGACAAGGAGAAGACATCTTTTTCATCATCTCAAACAAAAAAAACACACTTAATCTCGATCAGGATTGTATAGTACAACCTAGCTCTCTCTTTTTCCTTGATTACCAGCACTGGTTCCCGGCCAAGAAGACTGAAGATGGATATACATATATGCAGAGGTGGTTTGTCCGGGGAGTGTAGTGAGTGAAGACTGAGGAGTGCTAACTGCTAAACATGTGTGGGTGTGGGCCCGGGGGTTTGAATTACGTAGTTACTTTTTGGGAGAAAAGGGCATATTGCATGCATATAGAACCCACCGAATTACATTATCGTAATCTCAAGTATGAACACATTAACAAATTAAAGTTCAAAGCAGCCGTTATGTCTTACTATTGTCCAAAAAGATTTTACATTTTTCTTGATTAATATTACTTCAATTCCGTCCCATTCAAAGGTTCCAAACTTAAATCATTCTTAAGCTTTTGCTTTCTATACTAGCTTTTTTTTTAATTAAATTTACATTTTTATCAGGCTTTGTAGCGGGTTTAATGTAGTTTCTGAATATATTAATTTTATTTATTAAAATAATCGGAGTGTGAATAAGGATCAATTCCAAGTTGTTTTATCGTCAGTCAAGCATCGAAACCGAATCGGGAACCTTTCTATGGGACGGAGAGAGTAGTAAACAACTTTTACCAATGACAATTTTAATATGAAATTAGTTTGAATGTGAAAATTATTCTACCATGCAGTAACATTGGGACATGAAAATGTGACACAGTTATTAAAAAAGTGAGTTTGTGTAGTTAGCATTGTTAAAAAGTAAAAATAATGTAAAAATGATTTAGAGTCCCACAAATTATACCAAATTTGGTATGGGACAATCGATTTCCGAAAAGGCAAAAAAGGGAAAATGTTAGCGGGGTGGAGTAAGTATTAAAATATACAAATGTATTCTTTTCATAAAAGTATAACAATTATATATTGTATACAAATATAATACTACATAATTAAAATCAATGTCCAATGTTTCTATCATTCACCAAGAAAAGTTTTTTTTTTCGGGAGAAAAAAAAATCTTGGTGAATGATAAAAATGTTGGACATTATCTTGATGGCAAACCTTTTCAGGACGGATGTAGTATTAGTTAATCAAAATTAGTTACGTGTTTGAGCTGGATTACAGAATCACCCTTTAATTTGTTCAATTATTTTGAAGTTTTTATGCATTGAGGATCTAATTCTTTTTGGTTCGGTCCTTATATTTCATGTTTGGTACGAACATTTTTAGAGCAAAAAATTACATTTTGTTGATACTCTATATTAAAAAAGGCTTTATGGATTTTCTACAAAAACACGGTTAGAAAAATGAATGCTAAAATTATTGGAGAGCAAAATGAGACTTTGATATAGAATTAGAGAAAATTTGAGGCATGCAGGGAAATCCATAAAGTCTTATTTTAGGTATTCTTGTAGACAATATCTTACTTCTCCCATCTCCACCACAAACTCTACACTGCACCAAGCTTTAAAGGTTAGTTTTGTAATCGAGTTCAAACACTTTAATTTTGTTCAAGTAACCAATACTACGTAAAACATAACACCTGCTTTGAAATTTGTTGGGTTTTCATACTTCAGGTTCCAACGATGGCATTTAATTGGTTGGTTGTATATATAAGCATGCCCCTTATTCCCAAAATATAACTATGTACAACAAACTCTCATTAGCCCAAACCTAGACATGTTTAGCACACCCTTACCTTTACTCATTACATACCCCATTTTCATTCTTCGGGGCTGGCAATCAGTATAGTAAAGAGAGAATTCCCTAAATAGAAGTAAAAATGTTTTGAAATTCCAAAATAGGAGTATCATGTTTTTTATTCCCTGAATATAAGTTAATTTCCGTCAAGTTTGGCATTACAAGGCTTTTAACATGGCATTTTCTTCCAAACTTGGCAGATTACTCCTATTCAGGGAATGAAAAACATGATACTCCAATTTTAGAATTTCAAAACGTTTTTACTCGTATTTAGGGCAATTTATGTATAGTAAATCAAGTGAAAATGGGAGAAAGGTGGTATATTGATTGTCGATTGAGATGAAGTGTGTTCTTTGTTTGGGATGATGACAAAGATGTCATTTCATCGTCCTTCCTTTTCATCTTCCGGCAATGATACCGAGGTTCTGCCAGGACCAGCCACACCCATACATTATGAACCCATTCCAAAGCCATTCGAAACTATATGATTTAAACTTTGTATGAGAACAAGACAAAAGACATTTAATACTTCTTATAATCACAAAAGAATCATAATATTAATATTGTATTACAAATTAAATTAATAATAACTAATTCTATAGTTATAATAGTAATTACAATAATAATATAATATATAATAATAACAATAACGAGCCGACATTTACCCCACCGATTTTGGTGGTTTACTAACCGGGTTTTATATATATATATATATATATATATATATATATATATATATATATATATATAAGACACATTTTTGCCCAACAATCCATATTGAGAAGTTTATCCCAATTTTTATGCATGGCCCATTAGCATATAATCCAGTCCGATTATAAACCATTTAAGTCTTCCTAACAACCCTAACCTAAACCGCCTATATAAGGTGTCTTTATCTTGCGGCTAAATCATTTGCGCTTCGGCAGAGTTCAGAGTCTATCGGTTCTCCGATGACCTTTCTGTTGTCGTCAATCTTTTGTCCTTCCTATTTAATACACACTACCACATCTCACCCTTGTTCTTATCCTATTCAAAATACATACTCAATATTCATTGTAATTCTCGTCAGACATACAACCGTATGTATTTTAAACTGTGAAGTGAGTCTATATTTGTGTGATGAAGCATAATTCGACCGTATGTACGAAGGCCGGGTGATCATCAAAGGATCTCAAACCTTACATCTTCTTTCGTGATTTGGGTATATCTCGGACTATTCCGTAGTATTATCAGTTTTGTGTGTACATGCACTTCTACTTCATTAGATTTCATGGTTTTATAATTTAGCAAAAAAATCTAATGCTAAGTCAATTTATTTTTTCCCGATCTTGCCTTATTGGACAACTTTTACGCCGATGAAGATTGAGTGATAATAAAAGGAACCCAGACCTTGCATCTCCTTTCGTGATTTGGATACATCTCACATTATTCCTGTGTTTTATCGAATTTGTGTGTACATGAAGTTGTATTTGATTTTTCAATTTAGCAAATCTTTTTGAATGCGAAGTGAATTTATTTTTCTCCGATCTTGCCTTATTCGACCACTGTGACGACGACGATGGCAATTTGATAATAAAATAATCTCAAACCTAAATTAGACCTCCTTTTGTCATTCCCGTAAATCTTACAGTGTTCCACTGTTCCTGTGTTTCTTCACTTATGTGTATACATACACTTGTATGTGATTTTATTTAAGGAATAAATTGCAAATGAGACAGCTGCAGGGTAAAGACGCCTTATTTTAATACTAAACAAAGAAGTTCAAATAATATAATATAGCCATCTATTTTTCCAGGTACACAGATCTGTAAAATAATAGAATATTTTATTGTCCATGACACACTTTTACGAAAAGAATTACATCTGGGATCGAATAGTAATAATGTGTTGGATATATGACATTGAAATACTACTTTCTCAAACTGATACATTTAACATATTTATGAAAGGCTTATTTTGGACACAATCAATGTTTATATTTACAACTTCAGGGCTATCTATTTTCATTTATATTAACAACTGATTCATACGCACCCAAATATTTTAAACTTTGTATACATATATGACATGTATGTATACTAAACTACATCTTTGTCGGTTTTCTACTTGAACGATTGTAGTCTCATTTCCGATTCATTTGTCAGTAGATTTCTAATAAATAAATAAGTAAAAAATGAATGTCTCAGTGCATAAATTAATATATAAATGAATGAATGAGTAAAAAATAAATACAATTGATTAAATAAATAATTAAATCAATAAATATATAAATGAAGAAATAAACAGATACATAAATAATAATAAAAACTTAGAGAATAAATAAATAATACATTGATAAATGAATATATGATTATATAATTAAAAATATATATAACAAATAAATAAATAAATAAATAGCTAAATAGAAAAGTAATACATAAATAGAGAATAAATCAGCAATAAATAAATAAATAAATAGTTTAATAAATAAATGAAAAATATTATATAATACAGTGAATAAAAAATAGTGTCATAAATAAATTAATAAATAAATAATTAAACGAATGAATGAATAAAAACTTAACAGATAAAAGATTTAATAAAATACTAAATAATTAAATAAAATTTAAATATAATTAAACATATCAATAAAAAATAAATGAATAAATGAATAAAGTAATAAATAAACCGGTAAGAAAATAAATATATAATGTATAAGTATTCAATTAATAATAAAATAATAAAAAAATGATAGAAAACAAATAAATTGATGCAGATAAATTGGATGTTTCCTCAAACATCAAAACCTAGATACATATTTGAATTTTTAATTATTCAATTGAATTATCATGTTAAAATTAACTTTGGACCACTTGTTGGTGAGGCATATTAATTCTGTGTGTCTGTCTTTTTGTGTAACGTCAATACACATTTTAAAACCCAATAATTTCTTCTCGAGTTTCAGCGATTGACAGAGTAGTCGAATCAAGCTATATAAGGAAGATATAGTTTTAGATTAGAGTTTAACCCGTCCTTAGATCCAACTACATAGAGTATATGTTTCACTCCATATAGCGATCGAGGATACACACTATGTAAGTTTGCTCCCTTATTCAATTAGAAGCTAGGTCTTCTTTACATCCCATTGGTTGTTTAATTTGTATTGAGATGATCAGATCAAGAACTAAGTTTTAGTAAATGTTTTTGTTTTTGTTTTGCTCTTTGTTTTATGTTTGTTTCAATTTCAAAAGTGAGAAAGGGGGACTTTATTATATGTTAACTATTCTTACACTTTTGTTTCGTCATTTGGTTTGTCTGAACTTGTGATGAAATCAAATGATTTATAGTACCTAGCAATTAACGGGTGTAAATAGTATAAGCCGAAACCG